CCAGGAGAAGGCCAAGGTTGGCCTATGTAGGGTTCCCCAGCAGGTGGTCAAGCCCTGGCCTGTGGACGGGGCCTGCGGACAGTGCTGGAATGGAATGGAGTGCAATGGAATGTGTCCGAGGATGTCCTCATCCTCTCCAGGCCAGAAGATAACAGATGTGCAGGAGTGGAGATTTCAGAGACAGAACAGGAGAGAATCCAGAAGCCTATTCCCAGAACCCCCAGCCCCTGCAGAGAGAGGACCCCCAGGCCTCTGGAAGGCTGTGCAGATGACACAGGAGCTCTGCTCCTCAGCACATGGATGCCCTGCTTAGGCCTCTCACCAGGCTCTCCCCCCTACCTGCGGGTGCCTTGAGACAGGACAGCCATGTTTTCCTTTGAGCTTCCATTTCCCCTCCCGACCTGGCCAGAGCAGGCCCAGGTGTTCTCTGACCTCCCTTCCAACGTGACAGGCCGAGGTGGGTGTGTGTACCTTGCACTGCAGGGACAGAACATGCAGATCCCGACTGAAGGAGAAAGACTTTAATCCTCCCCCTTCCAGGCCCAGGGCTCCAGTTAAGACAAGCAGAAGTGCTATTGTGCGGGCTACTGGAGTCTCCTGTGCTCAGGCTTCTTGCTGTCCTGGTAAGGCCTCCACTGCACCCACATGGCTCAAGACTGGTGTGGTGAACACCAAAGCTACAAGGTCTCCTGGGTGGTGGGGTCACGTGACTTCACGAGGCTTTGCAGGTGTCTGACTGCCTTCTTCACCCTCTGGTCGTTGGGGTCTGAGCAGATGACCTGCCCTGGACAGTAACCAGTCTACGGAGAGGGAGAAACCATCAGAGAGTCCTAGGACCATCCCCACCCTGCACTGACCAGGAGCCTGAGGCCCAGGGTCACATGGGACATCGATGGCAGATCTGAGATATCAGGTTATGTCCTCTGGGATTCTCAATCCTCCATGAGTCCGAGCCTTGATCCTGCCACTGCAAAGAAACTGTGGACCCTGCGGGAAGCCAGGGCTGCAGGACTGCTTGTCCCTCTCTACGGACTGTCATGTCTCAGAGACCTACAGAGGCTGTCCATCAGCTGGAAAGGCTGGGGTGGGCCCTGGCCTTCTGAACTCTCCTCTGGCCCCGGTGAGAGGCCGTATCAGCCCCTGGTTTGCTGCATGACCAAGGGGTCATCCCATCCATCTCTGGGCCTCAGTTTCTCAAAATGTAAATCCAGGACTTGGACCCCATGGCCAGGTCCCTCCAGGGTCTCAGTGCGTGGTCTGGAACAGCCCAGAGGAACAGGGCTGGCTGGTCAAAGGGAAGAGGGAAGAATCATCCTGCTCTCCCCTCTCCCCAAGGTGTGGTCTGGGGGCTCCAGGGGCTGCCTCCTCCCATGCCCAGCTCCCAGGATGCCTGGGGTGGAGCAGACTTACACGATGGCATCCCTTGGACACTCTACCAAGGTCCTGTGCCACATGACAACCTTTCGGATACGAATGGCTCCTTTGAAATACTCAAGGCAGCACTCCTGGCCGACACCAGCCCTCGAGCTGCAGAGAGCTGGTGCAGGACTATCTGTGTGAGGGTGTGGCCTGCAGGGTGTACCATGTGTACCACTAGGTGTGTCTGTGGATGGGGGGTCTGCAGGGTACTCCGTGTGTGTGTGTCTGTGTATGTGAGGGGTCTGTGTCTGTCATGTGTGCATGTGCATCTTATGTGTGTCTATGGGTGTGGAAGGGGTCTCTGTGTGTGTCTGTGGGGGGATCTGTATGTCTATGTGTGTGCATGTGTCTTGTGTGTCTATGTATGTTGGGGGGATCTGTGTGTGTCCTTGTGCGTGTGCCTATGTGTGCATGGGTATCTGTGATCTATATGTGTCTGTAGATGTGGGGGTCTGCAAGGTGCACTGTGTGTGTCTATGTGGGGGTCCATGTGTGTCCATGTGTGTCTGTGGATGTGGAGGTCTGTGGGGTACACTGTGTGGTGTGTCTATGGGAGGGTCTGCGTGTGCATCTTGCTTGTGCCCATGGGAGAAGGATTTGGGGGCCTCCTGCATGTGTGCATCTGTGCATGACTGTATATCAGATGTGCATGCACTCAAACCACCACCCCCTTCACCACCTCTGGGCCAGGCTCTGGCTGAGCCTTTCCCGGCAGCAAGTAATTCAGGCCTCACAACCGCATCTGGGAGGCAGGTTCTCTATTACCCCGTTTTACAGATGATCAAATGGAGGCCCAGAGATGTGAAGACACTTCAGACCTGTTTTCTCATCTGTGTGAAGAAAAAAAAAAAGTATCCAAAACTTGGAAATGGGCAAAATGATGATTATGTTGCTTTTAAAAGTATGTATTATACATTTTCTACGCATTTCTCCCCCAGCTGTCCTCGGGCTCTCCCAGGGATAAAATTCAGTTTGACTACCTCTGATTGGGGCCCCGCCCTTTCACAGCCCTGTGAACTTAGAGCAAACTTACAGCAAACTTAAGGGTGGGACGATGTCATTTGTCTGATTGAGAAGATAACCCGACCTCCAGTCCTCACCCTAAGTACTTCTTCATCTGGCTGTTCATTTGTATCCTTTACAACAAAATGGTAATCGTAACGTGTTTTCCTGAGTTCTGTGCACTGTTTTAGCAAATTACTGAACTGGAAGAGGGAGTCATGGGAACCCCCAATTTGTAGCTATGTCACACAGAAGCATGGGTAACCTGGGGACCCTCTACTTATAACTTGTGTCTGAAGTGTGGGGCAGTCATGTGGAAGTAAGCCCTTCCTTTAACCTGTGGTGTCTTCACTAACTCTGGAAGTGTCAGTTGTTAAAACTGTAGGACACCCAGTTGGTGTCTGCAGAGAATTGGAGAATCGTGTGAAAAACCAACACATTTGGTATCAAAGGTCTTGTGAAAAGCAGTTTTTCTTTACTACCAGTAACAGGTGATGACCCTATTTTCTCCATACTGTTATACTGTCCTGGTGTCCACAAATAGATTCTGCTGTAGGATTTATTGAAGAAAACCATCACCTAGAAATGGACTTTTACTAAAAATTGTTCAAGGATTCTGCGACAATAAATCCTCATCTTAACATGCAAAAAGAGGGACACAGAGAGATTTCAGATTTTTAAAAATCTGATTTCTAACTTCTTAAAGACTCAATATTTGGCATTACTGGAATTGCTTTGCTGCCTATCCAGAATTTGCTACAGCTGAGTAGAGGCTGCCTTCTTTAGGTAGGACATGCACTCTTCAATTCTCCACCCTGCCTACTCCTTCTTGTCACTCTGAGCAGCCTCATTCATCTATCTGACTTTGAGGACATTTGAGTATCTCTGGGCCTGCAGGGATGCTTATGAGGATTTGGAGTTTGCTGGTGATGGTTAAGTCTCATTTACTAGCGATTGCTTTTCTCCTGTTTTTATCTGTGGCATGTCAGAAGACCTGGAACATGAGGATCTGAAGGAACAGTGATGCTCCCAGTCCAGTTATCTTAAATAACTGTCCCACATTCAGAAAACCTCCAGTGGTTTTGAACCTCATTCTAAACTAAATGCAGACTAGCTTCTAAGTAGCCTGGGGGCCAGAGACAGCATACGCCTTACAGAGCTCACAGGTGGGCATGGTGAGGAGAGGGTGTGTGGCACTTGGGGGATGGCAGAAGTTATCTTGTCCTTTTCTTGCCTGTGTTTTCTGGTCCCTTTCTTACTACTTACTATTGGGCCTGCTGTTCTTCAGCTTCCTGAGAATTAGCTTGCCTGCTCCTATTACTGCTTAGCAAATTTTTTTTTTTTTTCTTCTTTTTCTTTTTTTTTTTTGAGACAGAGTCTCGCTCTGTCACCCAGGCTGAAGTGCAGTGGCACGATCTTGGCTCACTGCAGCCTCCGCCTCCTGGGTTCAAGTGATTCTCCTGCCTCAGTCTCCTGAGTAGCTGGGACTACAGGCATGCAACACCATGCCCGGCTAATTTTTGTATTTTTAGTAGAGACAGGGTTTCACCATGTTGGCCAGGATGGTCTCAATCTCCTGAGCTCGTGATCCACCCACCTCGGCCTCCCAAAGTGCTGGGATTACAGGTGTGAGCCACTGCGCCCGGCCTATTGCTTAGATTTTTTTTTAAGTGTTGAGAGATTCCCTTCTAAAGAGTATCTTGAGGCTTCCAAGATTTTCATCAGAGACCTTGAAAACCATCAATGAGACTGGGAATCCAAGGCAGCCACCTTCCTTCAGGACCTGAAAAGCCATGTGTTTATGCAAGAGTTCCAGTTATTACAAAATATAAACGCTGTAACATGCTATCTTGTTGACTACATTTTATACTTACATAAAGGGCATCCATAGTAAATGTCATTTTTGACAGCTGCATAGTATTCCATGTATGCATATATAACAATGTAATATGCAAAAAACTTACTAATTTTCACTCCTTAGAGTACTAACAAGACTGAGTCTCTCTTCTTACTTTAAGTCATTTTTTTTATATCTGTTTAAAAGCTGCCTGTTTGTATCAGTGTCTAAATTACTTATCTTTAGATATTAATGTTTTAAGAGACAGAGTCTTACTGCCACCCAGGCTGTAGTGCAGTAGTGGTCATAGCTCACTGCAGCCTTGAATTCCTGGATTCAGGTGATCCTCCTGCCTCAGCCTCCCAAGCAGCAAGGGCTGCAGGCACACACCACCATGCCTGGCTAACTTTTTTTATTTTTTATAGTGATGGGATCTTGCTATGTTGCCCATACAGATCTGGAACTCATGGCCTCAAGCAATCTTCCCGTCTCAGCCTCCCAAAGCACTGAGATTACAGATCTGAGCCACCATGCCCAAATACTATACTTTTATATCACAAATTTTACAAAACTATTTCCACATTTTGTGCTTTATCTTTTAAACTTTAAAACAAAAACATATATGAATATTTAGTTTTCAGTAGTCAATTTATCAGTACATACCCTGTGGCTAGTTTCTGACTTTCATCTAATGCTTAGAAAGGTTTTCTCAATACATGAAAATTAAAAATGTACTCATATCTTTTTCCTTTTTTAAATAAATCTTTATTTTTCATCTTTTCAAAAGTAATACATGCTTGTTGTCAAAAATTAAACAAATAAATTAATGCGGGTAGAGTGAGTATCTTTAGTATGGGTTTTCCTATCCAACAACAAGGCTTCTCTCTCTCTCCATTTATTCAAATTTCCTTTCTAAAGTGGCTCTCAGTGAAGACTTAAATTTCTCCATACAAGTCTTCCATAACTGTTTATTTCTAGAAAATCTACTTTTCTTAATGCTGCTGGGAATGAAATCTTTTCCTTCATTATATTTTCTAATTCCTGTTAGTATAAAACAAAGCTATTTATTCTTGGATGTTTCTCTTTAAGTGGTCATCCTTTCCTGATTAAAAATTGAACAGAATAAAAACTGTTTCCATATGAAGACTCTGCCATACTCTTTCCCTCTTGGGGGTTTTTCAGTGGGCGAATCTGATGATACTTGATCCATTTTGGCATTAATCTTGAGAGTTTTCTACATCTTTCTCATTATTAGGATTTTCCTTCACTATGGACACTCTGATGCTGACTGAGCTGGAAGCTAAACCTGAATGCTTTCCCACACACACTACACATATACGGTTTCTTCCAAGTGTGGACTGTCTGATGTATAATGTAGTCAGAACTAAAGCTGAAGCCTTTGCCACATTCCACACATCTGAAGGGTTTCTCCCCAGTGTGGCTTCTCTGGTGCCGAATTAAATGGGCATTAACATGGAAGGCTTTTCCACACTCCTTACACTGAAAGGGTTTCTCTCCAGTGTGAATTCTCTGATGCACAATGTAGTTAGAACTACAGCTGAACGCTTTCTCACATTCCATACATTTGAAAGGTTTCTCCCCAGTATGTATCCTCTGATGCCTAGTTAGTTTGGCATTGATACTGAAGGCTTTCCCACATTCCTTACATTGATAGGGCTTTTCTCCAGTATGGATTCGGTGATGATCAAGTAGGTTTCTTTTAGAAGTAAAGCATCTCCCACATTCATTACATTCAAAAGGTTTCTCCCCAGTGTGAATTCTCTGATGCCGCATTAGTTTCCCATTAACGCTGAAGGCCTTTCCACACTCATTACACTCATAGGGCTTCTCCCCAGTGTGAATTCTCAGATGCTGCCGAAATTGGGAGTTACACCTGAAGGCCTTCCCACATTCATTACACTCATAGGGTTTCTCGCCTGTGTGAATTCTCTGGTGTTGGATTAACTTCCCTTTGACACTGAAGGCTTTTCCACATTCAGTGCATTCATAGGGTTTCTCACCTGTGTGGATTCTCTGATGCTGAATGAGTTTTGTATTATTATTGAAGCCTTTTCCACACTCTTTACACTGATAGGGCTTTTCTCCTGTGTGGATGCTCTGATGCTGCCTAAGCTGGGAGCTGCACCTGAAGCCTTTTCCACATTCATTACATTCATAAGGCTTCTCTCCAGTGTGGATTCTCTGATGCTGAATTAATTTTGCATTAACATTGAAAGCTTTCCCACAGTCATTACACTCGTAAGGTTTCTCCCCAGTGTGGACTCTCTGATGTGTAATATATGCAGAACTACAGCTGAAGCCATTTCCACACTCCTTGCACTGATAGGGCTTTTCTCCCGTATGGATTCTCTGATGCCTACTTAGACTTCCATTAACACTGAAGGCCTTCCCACACACCTTACACTGATAGGGCTTCTCCCCACTGTGGATTGTCTGATGTGTGATATAATGGGAACTGTAGCTGAAGCTTTTCCCACACTCCACACATTTGAAGGGTTTCTCCCCACTGTGAAGTCTTCGATGCCAAATTAATTTCTCGTTAATGCTGAAAGCTTTGCCACACTCCGAACACTGATAAGCCTTTTCCTCAGTATTGTTTTCTTGATGTTGATTAAGTTGAGAGTCACACCTAAAGGGCTCCACTAATTCTTCACATTTGAAAGGTCTTTCCTCAGAATTAATTATTTCATGCTTAACGAGTTTTGTATCAAAGCTGATGGCTTTCCCCAATCCTGTACACCCAGAGGGCTGCTCTCCCCTGATGGTATGACACTGATATGAGTTAGAACTTTGACTAAAAAAACACTCCTCCATGGGGCTTGTCTCATCTTTCACTGTTCCATCAATGCTGTCGCTCTTCTCCTTCTTTGTATTTCCTGTTGAGTAGACTTCCTGTTGTTTCTCTAGAAGAGAGGCTTCTGAAAAGTCTGTTTCCTGGGAAAAGTCCCTTTGAAGTTCAAATGATACCTTCTCTTTTCCTTCATACATTTCCTTTGTCAAATCATTGTCAGTCTGAATATCTACTATAAAAAACAAAACATAAAATGTCATGTAAGAACCATGTTAGAAAAAAGAAGAGAACTGTGCTAGAGAAGACCATAATAATCGGAGGCTCCTTAAAATCATCAGACTAGTTCAAAAAACCTAGGGTTTCTCCGTAAGGTGGAATAACTAATATGTAACTAGTAAAAGAATACAATAAATCCATACATGCTGACATAAAAAGACATCAAAGATACAATCAAACGGAAATACAAGTTGAAAAACCGGTATATAGAATAGATTTTCATCTGTGTAAAGAAAAATATAAAAGGCAGATATATATACTTGTACATATCTAGAAAACGTCTAGAAGAATCCATAAGAAACTAAACAAACTAGCATAGGAAGTTTGGTGGACTTGCTTCCCCACTTTATACACTTTCTGTATCGTTGAGTCGGTGTCAATATTATAAAGCAATGAAAGTAATGATTAAAAAAAAAAAAATCACCAGTCTCACTGTGCCTAAAGCAAGGCCACTGTAGAGAACATAACCAATCACATGAAGGTTAAAAGTGACAGCTGGGCGCGGTAGCTCACGCCTGTAATCCCAACACTTTGGGAGGCTGAGGCAGGCGGATTGCCTGAGCTTGGGAGTTTGCAACCAGCCTGGGCAACACAGTGAAACCCTGTCTCTACTAAAACACAAAAAATTAGCCAGGCATGGTGGCACGCACCTATAGTCCCAGCTACTCAGGAGGCTGAGGCAGGAGAATTGCTCGAACCCAGGAGACAGAGGTTGCAGACAGCCAAGTTCATGCCACTGCACTCCAGTTTGGGCGACAGAGCGAGACTCCATCCCCCCCGCCAAAAAAAAAACAGTGACAGCAGTGGAATAAAATTCTAGGTCTTGTCCACCAGATCAGCATTCTTTAATCACACCATGCTTTTCTACACCCTGCAGTTTCTTCTTAGTTGTTCCTATGGCACTCAGTTCCTTACCTAAAAAAAAAAAAAAAAATAGAAAATGCTGAAGAAGGAAAAGGCACAGGATCCAACAGGATGTGGCAACTTGGGGGATGACAAAAGTCAGCAGCACCAGGGAGCAAAATGGAAATAATTTTGTTTCTTTCCTTAGAATGTTAACTGTGGGCTTTCCAAAATTCCTCCTTCAACTTCATTTCTACTTTAGACAGGCTCTATTTAAGGGCCATTTCATCCCATTTCTTCCTATTCCTCCAAATACTGCATTAACCTTGCCTTTTCCTTTCACTTCTTCCTCCAATCCTAAACTTGATCATACCCTAAAAGTCTTTTCATAATACCAATAGTCTTTACAACTAGAACTACTGATCTCTGCATTTGTTCCCAACTTTCTCAAAAGCTGAGTCCCAAAATGCTGCCTCATATTTTTTCATCTTTCATCACTCCTCAACCATATGTAATATGCCCCCTGCCCCAATATTTCATAATTGCTCTCAATAAGCCCCTCCAATTGCCTGGATTCCCCAGCAAGCACTTTCTAAATAATATTCTTCCCAACTAAAAAAATAATACTCATCTGTTGCTATAGACTGAATGTTTGTCCTCCCCACAAATGCATACTCTGAAATCCTAACCCCTGATGTGATTGTATTAGGAGGTTGGGCTATGGCAGAACCCTCATGAATGGGATTAATGACCTTAAAAAAGATCCCAGAGAGCTCCCTTTCTTGCCACCATATGAGGATACTGTGAGAAGACGGCTGTCTATTAGCCAGGAAGCAGGCCCTTGCCAGAAGGAACCTGCCTGCACCTTGATCTTGGACTTCTTAGCCTCTAGAACTATATGAAATAAATTTCTGTTGTTTATAAGCCATCCGATCTATGGCAGTCTGTTATTGTAGCCCAAACTGACTAAGACATCTATTCTATCAGATGTCTAGTCATCCTCTCCAGAAGTCTACTCCTGTTTTGCTGCATTCTCACCAACACTGAATATAATTTAATTATTCTCAATATCATAGGTGAAATATCTCTCCTTGTTTTCATTTTCCTCTCTTGCAGTGAGGATGGCCATTTGACACAGTTCCAGCAAACGAGTCTTAAACAGGTATTACTGAGTGGGCTTCTGAAGATTTTTAAAAAGAAAGTCAACACTGCTGCCATGGGCCTCATGCCCTTTGCCCTCCCTTCTGCCTGCCTAGAGCCTGTTTGATTCCTCATCCCAATTAACCCATACACATTGACTACATTAATGTTTCTATCCCCAGCTAGGATCATGATGGGCTTCCTGGAAAAGTCAAAGACTTCAGGACAGTCAGCTGCCTACAGGACAAAATACAGGGTCCTTTGATTAAGGACCTCACAATATCACTTTTTTTCCTGTATTTGTCAAGCCCATTATATGGCAAACTCTCCATTTCCAAAGCATGCCTTCCTTGGTCAGGTATCATCTGATAGAATGATCAAAGGGAATAAAAACCCACAGAAACCATCTAAGAAAAGTGAAGACTCACTGAAAAATGCAAGAGAATCTCACAGACCCTAAATGCAAGAAATAACAGGGGACCTCGGGGGAATGAGAAGTCATTTGGCAGCTACTCTGTTGGCACCAATTGGAGCTCTGCTCCTTCAAGTGTGGTCTGGTAACCAGAAGTACTGGCATCACCACATCACTAGGGAACTTCATAGAAATGCAGACTCCACACTTACTGCATATCTGTAAGACCTCAGGATTCATTTACACATTCACATTTAAGAAGCAAAAATCAAGAGCACTTCCTCCCTTCCACGTTACCTTCTCTGTGTACAGCTGTCTTCCCCAACACCAAAATAAAAATATTGAACTGAGCATGCACTATCAGCTAGGCACTTGATATGTGTTATCTCATTTAATCCTCAACCCACAAGACTAGTACTATTACCTTCTTTTATTATTAACCCATTTTCAGAGATGAGAACACTCAAATAACCCACTCAAAGTCACACAAATTAGGAAGCAACACAGTTGGGACTGGACTTCAGAAAAGTCTCCTCTAAAGACTGTGCTTTTAACCACTTCTGTCTGTGTGAAAAGGCTGTTAATTCTGTATCCTCCACACTATGTGAACAATGCTTAGAAATGCCAAGGAACCCCCAAATTACTGAGTCCATTAATTTTGTCTGAGAAAGGCAGGATTCCAAAATTAAGAACTGAAGAGTCAGAATGAAGGGTTTGAAAAAAGATCTGTTCTTGGAATTAGACACAACAAACTTTGAAGACAGATAAGGACTACCTATCTCTATGAATCATCAAAATGTACTTAAACTTTACTCTGTATGACCGGCCAATAAACATAGTATGTTTATATGTTGCTAAAGTTGGCTTTATGCCTAAAATGCTAAATTTCAACAGAATGGGAAATATGTACCTTCCTTACCAGTCCGGAGGCCCCAGAGGCCTGTTCCTGCAGCCAGTGGAGATGGGCCCCCCAGCTCATCTCCTCCCTCCAGTTGTGAGATCACAGCAGGTTTGAGAAGTGGAAATCCTGGTTTGGGAGAGGTAAATAGGAGAGACAGATGAATAATCTCCCACAGATAAATTCCTAAGCCTCTTCTCAGATTGTCTCAGCAGTGGGGAGAGAAGGTAAGAACCCCAGGAGGTCCCAAGCCTCAGGACTATAGGAAAGTACTGTGGGGCTTAGGAAGGACTACAGAGACCTTGGAGACGTCTAAGGCTTTGGGAGGCAAGTGTGGGGGTTGGGAGTGAAGGCTTGGGAAAGTGTGGGAGCGCCTGGGAAGGGCCCAGACTGTAGGCCTAGGAGACCTCATGCAGGGCAAGCAGGGAGATTCTGCCCAAAGGGATACCACTTTTCAACCTTGGCCTGAAATATCCAGAGTACAATGAGATCCTTGAAAAGACTCAAGATAGGTAAGATGAGGGGGGAACTGAAGATGCCACTATGGAACAGGAAGTCACTGGATTCCAGTGTTTCCAAAATATAGCTTTCATGTGTTGGATCAACAGTACATACCAGTTCCAAGCAAAGTCCTATATAGGCCTACAAAAAGCTTGGTGTTTGCCCCTGCCAGTAACCTCTTAGTCTAGGAAATTAGGAACAGCTCTGGGGTTCTCACTCAGTAAAGGATTACCAGAGATCCCCCCAGTAACCTGTAAGGGAGAAGCAAGCCAGAAACCCCAATTGGCAGAGTCCAGATTCCCAGGAGAGAGAGGACTTACCCAGGGAGGCCACATTCCCATAGTTCTCCAGCATCACATCCCTGTACAGGGTCCTCTGTGCAGGGGACAGACCATCCCATTCCGCCTGGGTGAAGTACACAGCCACGTCCTCAAAGGTCACCAACTTCTGAAACAACAGGTTCCTGCTGCCCTAGGGCCAATTCCATGGCTCAGGCCCTAAGTGAGGGGCAGAGGGCAGTATAAGGGCTTGGGGAGGGTGCTTGTGAGAGCACAAAATATTAACAACAAGGGAAACATCTCAGAAAAAACATTGAGAAAGTAAACTACAGAGTATCCAACTTCTCCCACAGCAGGGAAACCTCATGCCATTTTTCACACAAATAAGAGGTAACATAAGACAGGCTGAAAGAAAAAAAATCTCTATAAGCAAATTCTCTAAAGCCAACTCCACTCTTAGATAAGCTGCTCCCTCTCGGCAAACTCGGGGCAGATCCACCAGCAGTTCCCACACCACTCCCCTGAGGTCTTGGCTCCCCTGCGCCTAACCTCAGCCCTGTTCCGCTACCCACCCATCGCCTTCATCCTCACAGCTCAAGCCACCCCAAAGATCAGCCACGGCTTCTGTCTCATTCAGCCCCACCGGATTCCCCTCACACACCCCCTAACAAGGGGCTGTGCAGCCTCTGCTTGAGCACCTCCAGCCACGGATGCTCCATGCTGCCCAGGCTGCGGGGTCTTCCTGGAAAGCCAGAATTTTCCTTTCCCTCTCCTATTCAAGTCTCATCCTTTCCAGCTTCTCCGAAAGCTTCACTGTCTCCAAGAACATTTGGGAAAGCAGGGAGATCAGCCTTCCCACTGGCCAGCTACTCTCCCTTTGCATCACTAAGCTATGTGGTTGGCACAAGCTTCACCACTCAGGGATGCTGCGTGTCGTTCTCAGGCCCAACCACCCCTCCTGGGCAGCTGCAGCCTCTGGCAGGCTCACCCTCTGCCCACCTCAACCTGCTCTAACAACCACAGGGACTCACTGGCAGGGATCTGCTGCTCAACTGTTCTCTGCCAGGATGTGTCTTCCTGGAGTCTACTGACCTCCACCCAACAGCAATTCTGGTCCAACCTCTAGGTATTTCTGTGAGTCTTCTTTGTGTGACCTTCAACAAGTAACTTCCGTGCACAAAATATAATGTCTTCACCGTGTGCTGCCACCACAACCCCAGTAAGTTGGCACTTCCTTCTGAATTTACACCTCAGATGGGGTCAGAATCACCCATACAAGAAACCCCAGCCAGAAACCTGGAAATTGTTCTTGACTTCCCGCCTTCCTTATTATCATGAATCCTTTGACTCTCTATGTCTGAAAGATTTTTTTTTTTTTCTTTGAGATGGAGTCTCACTCTGTCACCCAGGCTGAAGTGCAGTGGCGTGACCTCAGCTCACTGCAATCTCTGCCTCCCAGGCTCAAGCGATTCTCCTGCCTCAGCCTCCTGAGTAGCTGGGACTATAGGCATGCACCACCACACCCAGCTAATTTTTCTATTTTTAGCAGAGACAGGGTTTCACTATGTTGGCAAGGCTGGTCTTGAACTCCTAACCTCAAGTGATCCACCCGTCTCAGCCTCGCAAAGCGCTGGGATTACAGGCGTGGGCCACCACACCGGGCCGTGATTTTTCTCTTAAGCATTACTTGAATCGGATCCCTCTTTAATGATGGCTTTCCTTGATGAAGCCCATGTCACGGGACCAGTGGGATTCTTCTTTGTGAAGTGGTCACCGTGTTTTTGAATCTTCCTTACCAGTTATTCCATACACATCACAAACCTGACCAAGTTAACATCACTGGTTCCACAGCTGCCTTATGGCTGAGCAGTTCTGAATCACTTAATAACTCTGTGATCCTGGGCAAGTTACTCTACTCCCCTTTTGCCTTTTCTTTTTAGGTGGAAAGAGTACAACACAGCACTTATCACAGAGGGTGGCTGTCAGGAGCAAACGGCCATACAAAGGGCTTAGCATGTCGCCTGGAGCATAGTAAGCCTCCAACAATACAACTAGTGTGACTGTGGCTATGATTGTTCCCAACCTGTAGTCCATGGAAGTCCATGGATGAGCTTCAGGGGATCCGTGAAGTCCCTGAAAGTGTATGGAAAATTTGGTTTGCAGGTTTATTTTTCTGCAGGACAGGGTGGGAAGTTCTTCTCAGATACCTAAAGTCTGCATGCTAAGCTTTGAAAGCTTCACAAGGACAATGAGACATTTCATCCCATGTGACTCTCTTTGCCCTCCCTTGACTCCACTCCCTGTGACCTTCTCTTATCCCTGAATTAAGAGGCACAGCCATCCTTCTCTGATCAGGTCCTGCTATTCCTCTTCCCTACATCCCCACCACAGATAGTCCAATCCTCTGTGACTGTCCTCCACTCACACTCCTGCACAGAACATCCCACAGGGGCAGCTTCCATGTCCCCATTCACCCAGAGCCCTATGCTGGGGGTGCTCCTGTAGAGAGGAGCAGAGACCCTCAGTGTGCAGAAGACCACCACCCTCCTGCTCTCCTGCTCACTCTCCCGCTGCCTCCACTCGCTGCTGTCCTGGTCTTTGCCACCCACCCCGCACAACACCTCTTTCCCGTAAGTTGCAGTCCAGCAGGTGGAAGCAGCTGTCATCCCGAGGCTCACCAGCTCCCCTTCTCAATGTTTTTCAATCTGAAACTGCCCAGAAGAAGAGCTGAAGGACCAACAGCTCACCTGGGACCAGGCTGTCAGGTGCATGGCTGCCATTCCCTGGTCCCCCTCTCAGAGAAGGACTGGAGCTAAGGAGAAACACAACGAGAAACAAGCGTGAGGCAAGCCACCCCCACCAGAGCAACACAGCCCCTCACAGAAAATGCAAGACACAGGCAACTTGCATCCAAATAGGAGTGTGAACAGGAGCTGCCCAAGAAGGGAGTGATCTGTTCACTGGCTCAGTGCCTAGGACTCCAGGCTATGACACTGAAATTCACTGCCAGGAACCCTAGGACTTTACAATTCTGATACATATCACACACACAGAAGAGTGTATATATAAAATTAAAAAATAAACAAAAATTTAAAAATAATAATAAGAAGAAGAGTGCATATAAAACCTGCTGGGCACGGTGGCTCGTGCCTATAATCCCAACACTTTGAGAGGCCAAGGCGGGTGGATCAATTGAGCTCAGTTCAAGACCAGCCTGGACACATGGCAAAACTCTGTCTCTACAAAAAATACAAAAATTAGCCAGGAGTGGTGGCACGTGCCCGTGGTCCCAGCTATTCAGGAGTATGAGGTAGGAGGATCACTTGAGCCCAGGAGGTCAAGGCTGCAGTGAGCCAAGATCACACCACTGCACTCCAGCCTGGGTGATGAGAGTGAGACACTGTCTCAAAAAAATAAAAAAAAAAAATAAAAAAAATAAAATGTAGGCAGAACCTAAAAATAAAGCAAAGAGTCATGTATCAACAATTCAGTTCAAGAAATAGGACAATAGCAAGATCTTTGACTTATTTCTCTTTCTCAAAACAAGTATCATCTTCAGTATCACAGCAGGAAAAGCTGGGCTGGCTGGGCTGCAGCCCCAGTACACAGGTCTGGGGAGTCAAGCCTCAGGGAGGCAGCAGCTGGAGAAGAGGAAAGCTGCCCCCAGTATCCTGCCCCATTTCCTCAGAGCTCTGAATGTCTTCAAGAATCCTAACACCTCTGGAGAGGTCTTGGGAGGTCAGTCCTCCTCAGGACAGCACAGGCTGTCCTTAGGAAGCTGAGCTGGAAGTAAGGGACCAGGCTGTTTCCCATACTTTCCAGTCTTCTGATAGTGAATGAGCCAAGGCCTGCACTTCTGCCTCAGCTCCTGAGAGAGATCACTGTAGCAGCCAGTCTCGTGACCCAGCACCTCTTGTTCACTGTATTCAAAAACACAGGGACTGGTGATTTTCTGACTTCTACTGCCCTTAAAGTCATTCTTGAAATTACATTTTCCTAAAAAATATCATCCATTTCTTCCAGGATTTCAACTTTACAAGTACAGACTTGCAGAAAATACTGGTTCATGATTCTTTCCATTTCCTCCATATCCAGAGCTAGTTTGCTTTTCCCACTTCTTCTTTTGAATATATGTGCTTTCTAGACCTTTTTCCCAGGGTTAGATTAGAGACTAAACATTTATGTCCCTGCCAAATTCATATGTTGAAGCTCTAGCTTCATGAGACAAGTGACTGTACTTGGAGACGGGGCCTGTGAGGACGTAATAAGGATAAATGAGGTCCTAAGGGTGGGACTAAAGGTCCTAAGGTTAAATGAGGTCCAATAGGGCTGGTGCCTTTACAAGAAGAAGAAGAGACCCAGAGCCCACGCACCCACTCACCCCCTACCTCCCCGATGTGAGGACACAATGAGAGGGCTACTATCTATGAGCCAGGAAGACAGCCCTGGCAGGAGCCAAAATCAGCTGGCACCTTGATCCTGGACTTCCAGTCTCCAGGACTGTGAGAAGTGAGTATGTTGGTGAAGCCACCCAGTCTATGGTATTTTGTTATGGCAGCCCAAGCAGACTAATACAGTTAGGCTGAGCAGTGGTTTACTTATTTTAATGTGGTTTCCTTTTGTTTTCAAAGAACCAGCTTTTCTAGCTGAGCAACACTACTTTCTTGTATTTGTTTTAAATTCACTAATTCTGCTGTCTTAGTTTCTTCCTTCAACTCTGTAAGGGGCAGTGTAAGCACCACTCCAATCCTCTTATCTCATCCTTAGTCCAGTTCTACAGAGGCCTTACTCAGCTTTGTGAAGCTGCAACCTACCAGAACCTTCACAAGCACCTACATCACCTATATCTGGTTCCTGCCCTGGGGCTTCTCTGGTGTCCTATGTGGGACACCTGTGGACACCTGCTAGGCCCTGAAGTGCAGACGCGTAAACACCTGTGGGACCCCCTTGACAAATGACGGAGAGAAACCAATGGATAAATGTTTTCCCCGGTGATCCCCCAGCGGGGCGGCCTTAAGACTCCAAGGCTCCTCAAAGGCCCTGCAAGGCAGAGCCTGTTGAGGGCCCAGCATACCAATGCATCCTCGTACCAGTTCTCCCATCTCTGTTTCACTCCCCTTGTCTTTCACTCTGCCCCTGGGACCACATTCCTAAATAAATTCCTACATACAAATCTTTGTTCCAAGTTCTGCTTTTGGGGAAGCTTAGACTACAAAAGGCTTTTTTCCTATTGACTTTTTCATTTATTTTCATTCTTTCCTGTTTGGCAATTAAAGCCTATAAGGCCACAAATTTTCCTCAGGATACACTATTTGCCACATTCCAGACGTTTTTATATTTCATGTTCTAATTACTGTTTTATAGTCAGTCAGCAATTCTGTTTTGTCTCTGACCTAGTAATTGCTTAGGATCATTTGCTGTTGCTAATTTCTTCTGTTTATAAGTTCTGGCTTTATTGCATGCTGGTTATATAATTCAATCTACCAACTTCTACTTTACACATTTTTCAGGATTTTTTTATGACTCGTGTCCCTTTAAAAAAATATATTATCTGGTGTTTAAAGAGAAAACTTATTCTGTGATGGGAGAATATACAACTCTATTTTTAGATAAACCAACTCTACCAGTTACATATGTAGTGTGCGATAGATACCCCACTCAGCTAGTCAAGGGTGTATACCCGCTGCCTGAACCTTGAAGGCCAGGCAGTGAGTCAAGACCATGGGGCTCAGCAGAGAAGCAGGTGTCTGCAAGAACGTAAACATCCTTGAAAGTACTGAGAACCTACCAAGAAAAGTCTCATCGTTTAAATGCAGTAGACAGAGAGCCAGAAAATTCTCTTAAAAGTACTTAGAGACGAGGGGCAGCCCAGGTCTCTAAAGCTGTCCTGCTGCCATCCAGGAGTAAGTATGTAAGTCCTGATAAACTCATCTACTTGCCAAGCTGGACTTGTCCAAGGCATTCTTTGGTCTCTTGGTTCCCTCCCAAGGGGAAAGTTTTTTTAAAATACGATTCCGGGTTTCTTCCTGTTATGACATTACACAGATTTTCTACATAATCCTTGATTACTTTTACCTAATTAAACCAAGATGGCCAGTGAAGAACTAACTCTCACAAAACACTGAGCTCAGATGTGTCATGAGCGAATCCTTTCAATGTTTCAGAAATGAGTAATTCTAACACTATGTAAACCGCAGCAGAGCACAGCAAAGTAAGTTTCCCAATTCTTTTTATGGTGCCAGCACAATACTGATACAAAACTATAGACTAGTCTCATTTATGAATTCTAATGCAAAAATTCTATCAAGGAATAGACTCCAGTAGTTCATTAAATACATCATGAGTGAGTAGGATTATCCCACGAAGATAAACAAACCTCAACGTTAGGATATTAATTAGTATATTTTTCACATTAATAAATCAAAGAAA